ATCAATCACCTACACTGGCCCCGCCCCTACAGTCACTGCTCATCTACATAATCATGAGCTCTGTTCAACTTCACAGACAGTCACTCACAGACAGAACAAACATCACGTAAAATCAATGACATGCCGTTGTCGCAAATCACCATCAGCGTGAATGGCAAAGAGTTTTCCTTTGGGATCAGATTAAGCACTCTCACAACAAACACTGTGTGTGTCCTTTTATTATAGATTTATACACCACAAATATCACAAAGCTGTTTAAATTTTAAGATTTTAAGGTTTTAAGGTTAAGTGTTTATAGAAAGTTGAGATATTTGTATTGGAAAAAGACATAATTCTTTGCAGCGCAAACACACACTCAAGGCTCAGAGTTGGTGCAGATGAAGTTGAGCCTGATGGTCGTAGGAAGGCTGACCCAGCGCTGATCTCCAGCCGACTGAATAGCTCCGGCTCTTTGCTCGCGGCAGTCGTGCGCTCTGGTGCCGCTCCCCGCGGCCCAGTTCTGATAACAGACCACCTCGCCACACAGCCACAGCCACATGTTCATGCTGCAGTAGTGATGCAAACCCATCCACACGGCCGCCGTCGAGGCTCTTCTCGCCACGTTCATCACCCGCTGCTCGATCTGAGGGCTGGGCACCGACACCAGGTCCACGTGGTTCTGTCTGCAGTACGTCATGGCTTCACTCCAGCTCAGATTCTGCTTGATGAGTATGAACTGATCTGGAAGAGACATTTTAGATTTTAGTTGATGACGTTCTCTCATTTTACACATGCAAGTCCAAGCATCGACTCACCTTGACAGACGAAGGCAAATTGTGAATTACATGGCCAGTCCTCCCACTTTCCCCTTCTTGATCCACTCTGCACTAGCACAGTGGCGTTTTCATTGCTTTGGGGTTCAGTGGGTGCCCAGTTTCTAAACGAGGATGTACTCTTGTCGGACCATTCCCATGAGTCTCTGAACAGACCGATCCAGACTCCAGTGTTTATGAGCTGCTGAATCTGCTGGTTCTCACTCTGGCTCCTCACGCTGCTCAGATCCGTGTGATTCGCTCTGCAGAAGCTCTGAGCATTTCTCCAGGTCATCGACTGCTGCACAAGGACGAATCCTTTACTGCTGTCTGCATGAGAAGACAAAATCAAGAAATGTCCCTTTGTTTACCAGTGATGATCTAGTGCACACGTTTCATCCAAACTACGCTGTGGAGAGAATCACTGCAGCAGATATAAATACGGCAAACGTTCATTAGAATCCAGTGAAAGCATTTTGAAAAGATACGTCATCATGATTTAGTTGGTTGCACCCTTCACTGGCTATTACATGGAAAATACAAATTAAACATTCAACAACATAATAGCAAATGCAATATAATAAAAACAAACATTTTATAAAACTGATGTTATGCAAAAAGACAAAACTGAGTACAATTCTGTAAAAGATTTGATGTTTATACTGAGTGATCGGGGGCCTCATTGATCAGGAGCTTCTGCACCTCAGTTTTTAAGTGAAAAAAAAGCATTATTTGTGGATAATTATGGAAATGTTTACTCAAAAACTGTGCATAAGCTTAGATCAATGAGCCTACAATCAATCAGTTCCAAATCTTTGTGAAGTTTTCATACCATGTGAGTTTTAGTCCAATGCGATAACATTGACTAGAGTTTTCAGGAAAAATAAAATCCATTCTGTGTGATTGACTCACCATTGTAGCAGATGAAAGACCTTTGGTTATTACAGCTGTCATCATGCCACAGTCCGTCCTGACTCATATAAGCACAGTAATATGAACCATTGTTCGGCTGATTCGATGCCCAGTTGCGAAACAGTAAATCATGAGCAGTGTAAAACGCAGGGTCTCCCAGAGACCACTTCCATTCACTCCTGAGGGTCTCCATCAGCCCGATCCAGACGGCATTATCAGCAGATTTGGCCATGATCTTCAGCAGCTCGGTCACGTCGGCGCTGTTGTCAATGGAGGCCAGATCACTGTAGTTCTCACGGCAGTATCTCTGAGCATCAGTGCAGTTCATCCTCATCTGAACAAACTCATACTGATGAAGAGCCGATGAGCTGAAGACGTGCAGCACAACTGTGTTCAACATTGATAATAATCAGAAATGTTTCTCGAGCAGCAAATCAGCATATTATACTGATTTCTGAAGATCATGTGACACTGAAGACTGGAGGAATGATGCTGAAAATTCAGCTGCGCATCACAGAAATACATTACAGCTTAACAGATATTCACATAGAACACAGCTGCTTTAAACTGTAATAATATTTCACATTTTATACTGTATTTTTGATCAAATAAATGCAGCTGTGTTGAGCAGAAACATTAACAATCCTAAAGAACCCAAACTTGTGCAGG